CTAGTGTCTAAGGCAAGAGCTCAGGGAATGGACAGACAAAAGGAGGGAGCAGTCTGGTCAAAGAAAAATAAAGAAACAGTAAAGAGTGACATTTAAAGCTGCACAGTTTGTAATCAAAAAACCTTAAAACGAATGATGCACAAACACACTTCTCCCACTCAGTTAAAGACCTTGGGCTTCAAACCAACACACGAAAATAAGCCAAAGTTTCCTTTCCACTGCCACTCCACCTCTAGCTCTGAGTAATTTGGAGCTCAACTCTGAGTAAACTCTGAGTTAAAAGTTCACACTCTGCAGCAAAACACCTTACATATGGATAAATCTACAATCAATACAAAATAAACCACACTGAGTCAGATTAAAGCAAGCCAGCGAGGTCATTAAGGACAGACACATTCAAATTTACCTGCCAACCGACCACTAATCATAAGGGTCAGGTCTGCATGACGAGGATAAAATACCATATTGTGGTTATGCCGCTACATATAGTCAGTGTTAAATTAAAACTTTCTATTTTTTTTTTTTTTACTACTATTTAAACACACCACCTGCTCTTTATGATGTGCATCATGATGTATGGACCAACAGAAATAGCCCAAAATTACATGGAATAACATCTCATTACATTAACTTACGTTAAAAACTAAGAACATTTTTTCCTTCTCCGGAGACATTTTAAAGATTAGATTCTATAACAATAATCATACTGTCCATCCCCAGTAGCTCATGTCAAGGTCCTCTTGTTCATTGCAGCAAAGTAAATGTTCATTAGACAAGAGCAAAACTGTCATATTGTTAAAGCATAAAGACTTATACTGAGTTATTAGCCTATATAACTTCCCATGATGCAGTGTAATGAACAAACGAAGAGAGACTTCAGTATTCAAATACTTGCACCTGACACAACTGATCAAGTACTCAAGTAGCCATGCACATTTCTACTGAAGGTTCTGTTCCAAAAGGGACCATACTGTGAATGCAATGCATGCTACAAATCAAGGGAAACATATGACGTGGTTGAAGACAGTCCTGAATTATTCTGATCAAAACAATTTACATTTTCTTGGATTACAAAAATAATGAGTGAACACTTACCTGAAACACTTAAGATGAGTTCAGGAGGCTTACAGAACACAATAAGAAAACTGTGAGCTCATTTGCATAACACAGCCATCGGCAAAGGCCAATTCTGCAATAATGATTAACAAACAATATACCATGTAGCTCTAGCGTGGGTAATAGAGCAGAGATAGAGAATGAGACAAGCACAAGAGGGGGAAAAAAGAAAAAATCCTAGTGCTTCATTTTACAAAGCAATAGAAACATCCACCTAACTTAATGAAGCCCAGTAACACACTTCCTTCCTGTTCTCTGAAATAAAGCCCTGGCGAAAGTCACCACAGTTTCTCTACGTCAAACCTACCACCCTCCTTTCACCACATCATTCAATGTTTGAAACCAAAGTACCACAATGTTAAAACTAAGTGAGCTTTTCCTTCCTTAATACAAGTTTCCAGAAGCACTTTTTGGCCATTTAGGGGTCAAAAAGGCACAACCACTGCACAGGAACTCAGACAAAATTAAAAATTTTGTGATCCAGATCATCCAACATAAAGCAGTACAAAACAACATTATGCATACAAGTCCATATTATCATAGCTGCATGCAACGTTATCCAACTCTTAAAGGTATCAAATATACACACACACACGCACACACATTCATTCTAATTCTAAAGTGGCAATTTTACTTTTGTAGTATCAAAAACACCTGCAAAAAGATATAGTTTTAAACAGTGGCTACCTAATGCCGTGTTCATAAGTTGTCGTTGAAATGGTAACAGCTCTACACTTTTAATATTTGTATTATTAAATCTGATTGGCTGAGCTGCGTTCAAAGCCTTTGTAAAATCCATGATATATGCACACCTGTGACCACCTTACAACAACTGAATTGTATATTACTATGCCAAGACCCTTGTGCTGTTAATGGAATGGTCTTTGACTTTCATGCTGCTCGCATGGACCACCAAGTATACTGATGAAGTAAGAACCCGTTTTTTTATTTAAACTAAGAGGCTGGCGACTTAAGTTCTTAACTAGAACTAGGCTGGTCAGCTAGCTTACAGGCTAAAAGATAGCCAACAGCCTAAACATCTCCATCAATAATAACGCAGGCTTGAATTAAAGTACTTACAGTATGATTAACTGTAAAATAGCAGTATAAAAGTCTAAAAAATGTGTTTCAGTCAGAAGTCACATCAAACCCAGGCAGAATTCCAAACGGCTCTGTATTCCCTAAATGGTGTGCTAGCTATGAGAGTTTTGAAATTCTAGCCTCTACAGCCAAACAATGCATCATTTATTGAGTACGGTTGAGTCCCAAATGACCATTTCCTAGCTATACTTGCGCCGTTGTGGTGCAAAATCCAGTATTTAAATTCCTATGTAGGGAGCAGGGAGGCATTTAAGATTCAGCCCCAGCATGAGAAGAGGGGCACCGCTGGATAGGTGCTAAATAAGACTGGCAGTTGTAATTTGGTGACCAAAAAGTACTTAAAGTGAAAGTTTTTCATTAAACAATGCTGTGTTCTCATATGTTCATTGTTATACAACAAAAGGTTTAAAAAACTCATGAAATGACCACAGGATACAGTAATGGGCGACCGAACGTTCTTCTCCTCATCCAACAGTCCATGGCTGCTTGGCAACAATACCATACTCTAAAGGAACTATATTTTTTGGTGGAATACTTGATAATAATGGAATACTTGGAATAATGATTATTATTATTAATAACATTGTTTTTTAAAAAAATTTGTATTTTATCATATTTTATGTTGGCCACCTTTTTATACAAGCAATAAGCCACTTGAGGCTGTGCATTACTGCGACTTTATCATAGGGAAAGGAGTTTTAGGCACTCCACTTCATGTTGTGCCTAAGAACATCCTTCCCATGATAAAACTGTAGTAACACACAGCCTCTCGTGGCTTAATGCTTTAGTATAATATTGGGTGCGGTTGATTTACATTCAGTTTATTTCACTGCACACAATGCATCTTAATGGCTGTTTAAAATAAAAAGAGTTTGTGCAAATGTTCTCTGACATTCTAGAAATATGCGTAAAAGCGAAAAACTTGTGCTATTCCCCTTTAAGGCAAAGCAAAACTATGAACTACAAAGCAGCAGTGAGAAGCCCTCAGTGAGAGCGTGAGTGTGTGGCTGAGTAAGAGAGAGACAGTTGTGCTCGCTTCTCTGTGTTGATCAAAGACATGACCACATTTCTACCGACAGGATAATTAGCCAGTTCTGACCCTCATCTCCAATTTTATCAGTCCATCTCTCTGTGGGTCGGCCATCTCTCTCTTTCTCTCAGTAAACGTTGCCACACTAGATCAGTCACGTGTGTGTGTGTGGTAACCGGTCTTAAAAGGTAAACCTAGGTCATGACATCTCATGTTGCACTTTCTCTTGCCCAGCTGTTCAAGTATGAGAGAGACAGCAAGAATTAGAAAAACATATTTGTTTGTCTGTCTGTGTTGTGCAGGTTTGTGAGTCTTTCTACTTTGCTTACTTTAAGAGACATTCATCTTGGTTTTAAAATAAATTGCTCTATCCATGCACTGACCAATAAACATGTTGTTTTGTTAGTTGATAAGCTGGACGAGCTTTAGAGAACATCAGCAAATTCACATTCATCTTAACGTAAGACTTGTAGCGTTTTAGTCAAAATATGTTCATGTCAACATTATTCACATCAGATCCCTACAACGTTTGTTGTTTCTTTTTTTTTAATTTGACCCTTCGAATCATTTGTAGTAGTTCCAGGCTAAAGCGTACTCTATGTTGCTATGATACACTCCGCAACTGTAGCCTTCTCATATCAATACAGCTTTTAAATTGCTTTCAGCACCTTTCGCAGACTTCACTGGACAGTGCTCAAGGGAGATCTTTGGATAAACCAAGGAGCAGCAAACTAACAATCAACAGCAAAGTATGAAGCTATAGCTCCCCTTGAGAGCCCCCACAGTAAGAATCCATGAGCTGTATGAACGAGAGAGAGAGTGAGAGGCTACAATCAGGAAGCAGCTGGAAGCACTGGCTATATTCATATAATATATACACTCACTGCTTGGAACAAGCCACGGTTGCTCTCACTGGACGTTAGCAGTTTAAACTGGCTACTCTGTGGAAATCACATGATTTGCATATTTAGGTTCAAGTGAACCCTCTGTGACAATGTTAACTGAACTACTGAAAGTAATGAACACATTCTAATGTAGCTTTGTCAACCAGCAATGTGTCATACAGCTATAACAAGAAATGCTGCTTTTTAAATGGAAAAAAGTCAAATTTGATTAAACAGGACAAAGATGGTCAGTCACACAAAGTAAAGGTGATTTATTATTTCAATTGTTTGACAGACTCAGACTCTACATACTGTTCCTCAGTTTTGCTACGCTTTCAATGACTATGCTGTTGTAGCTAAATGAAACTAAGCGAGTTAGAATTTATTTAGTTTTATTTAGTTGATGATTACATGGCCAAAAAAAACTAAAATCAAAAAAACCAAATCAATAACAATTTAAATGTGATTTGACTCAAACTTATCACACAATATCACTTATTTTTTCTGATACCAAAACAAACATCGATCCCCTCAGTCCATCCTAGCAAAAGCTGCTCCAAAAGAACACTTTTATAATGTATAGGTCAAAATGCTGGCCACAATGGTTTAATCAAGCAGCTCAAACCTGCCTCCGCTTCCTCTCTCATTCCACTTTTCTTGTTCTTTACTTTTTCAACCTAATTGCTCTTTACTCTCAGCTTTGCCCGTCTTTTTATCGCTAATTTCCCTTATTAGATAACCACCCTTACTCTCTGTTCAGCTTTATATAACCTAAAAGCTTCTTTTACTTCCCTTTAACTCTCTCTACATACACTTCTTTCAGCAACGGAGGAGCCCTCCACAGCTACTCTCATTCACATCGCTCTTACCTGTTTGAGATTAAAGTCCATTAAACATCCGGTGAAGCAGGAGTCGCCATTGCCGAGCCAGGTGTTTCTTTTTCACTCTCTCTATCACAATGTCTCGCTCCCCATTGGCTGAGGTGTGTCTGTCTCTGCATATGTCTCAGAACAGTGTGAAGCTTTGTCTGTCCAGTCAGGAAACTGAAAGCAGAGCAGAGAGACAAAAAGAAGAATTGTTATTAGACTCACACTGAGGTAAACACCAGGATCTGTTTAGAGACTAGTGCTGGGCAATTTTGATAAAATCTAATCTTATCTACTAATACAGACTTTATGTAGAGGTGGACGCTATGGTAAAAACATCATGATACTTGAAAACATTTTCATGATATGACATGCCACAAAATCATTCTTTTTTTCTTACATTTAAAATGCTAGAACAGGCAAAAAAGAGACAGCATGCAACTGAATGCAGAAATCTGGGGGAAAAAATCCTTTAACAGCTTTGACTTAACTGCATGAACTTTGTAAAGTCAGAGACAAAGTTTCCCAAAAGTTTTGCAGTTTTATTTGGAACGTAAAGATATCCTAATGCAATAGGTTGGGTTTGGATGAATATTACATGGTTTTGTACAGTAATATCGGCCAGTATTACTGGACAACAAATATATCAGCCAACCCTTAGTACTTGGTTATTAATGATATGCACAGGGGATAGCAAGAACAAGCTTGAGAAATGTTGAAATAATATTAAGCCTGTCCTGTAATGAAAGAAAAACATTTTTATTGAGAAAAGAAGCTTATTTCCCCCAGTAAAGCTGGCTTAAGTGCAAACTGAAATTAATCACACAGGGTAAGTATACATTAATGACATTCAGTGCTGAATCATCGATGGTTCAGCAATGACTCATTAATATACACAAAATCTGGACACAGCTCGAGAACAGAGATAGCTCTATTTGAAGCGACATGACTGATCTCATACACCATGAGCAGATTTTACTCCTGGGAGCGAATTCTTAAAAGATTAAAGAAATTAGTCCTGTTATTTGGGATCATATTTTTAGTGCCTTTTTCTTATACCTTCCCAGCTGAATAGTGACATAATGTTGTAAGCGCATGTAATAGTTTTGATAAGACAGCAGCACTTGAACTAATCATGTTAGTGCTTCTAAATACACAGCACTTATGATCCTCGGTAAGTAGTCTTTCTTTCTGAATATACTACACAGAAAGAGCACTGTTAGAAATAATTGAACTTGTAAGATCAATCTGTATGTTACTTCACGAAGAGTTCGGTTTCTCTCAGTTCAGAACTGCCAGACAGACACGACTGATCAGGACACGCACACAGGACTGTAAGAGACAGATACGATATCTGTAGATAGGATACACTTATCAGGCCTACAGGGAGAGTTTCTCTGTGCAAGAGTCTTCACGATATGCAAAGAAACTAGCGAAAAGCAACAGGAAAAAGGAAATAACCTTATTTCTCTTAACTAGAGCAACTAGGGCTCAACTAGAGCATGATATGGACAAAACATATAGAATAAAGTACTGTGATTATTACAGATACCTGAGCCTCAACTATTAGCCAATGCTGAGTACTGATAGTGATACTAACTATCTGTCTATCTGTATACACACACAGAGACCAGAAATTACAATTACAGTACAACAGCATTTACACACTGAAGGCTATCTGTTTCTCTGCATACCTTCTTAGTCCCACATTTAACCTGTTGTTCAGTGGTCCGCCCCACAGTAAAAGGCCTCAGTAAAAGGCCAAGACCATGTCAGTGTCACTGCAGTGCTGTGAATGATCCATCACCCGAATAATACATGCTCTGTGGGGGTCCTGAGCATTGTATAGTATACAGAGAAGACATTAATCTGTAATTGTAGAACTACAAAGTGCAACTATACGTTAAGTGGAGCAGATAAAGTGGACAATGAGTGTAGATACATGGAGGTGTTCACAAACAGCAGCTTCTCTGGACTTGTCAACAACAGTGCTAAAGTGATTTCACATCTGAATTTCTCAAGTATTGTGTCATACACCTCATACACTCGAGCTTACATCTATGACCGTCAGACGCTGCTGGAATTTGGGAAATATTACAATCATTCATACCATCAGCAGCAGCTGGCAAGCAGTGGATTCTCAGCTTGACATGAGGACCAGACTCAGAGATTGTGTCATCGTCAGATGCAACTAACCTCAGACACAAAACACAGGCAGTGTTACGGAATACAACGCAGCCAACAGGCTTCTAGGCTAAAGGCCACCTTTAACCCCAGAGACTAACTGTTCTTTCCACATATCTCTCTAATGTTCAGTCCCTCGATTAACATCCCTGGATTAAAATGAACTCAGACTGTCATCTACACCCAGAAAGAGATATTCAGGTAAAGAGAATAACACTCATTTTCACATGACAAATTTCCAACCTCTCTTTATTTCTTGTTACTGTGTCTTTAAGACTGATCTATGTAAATGATCTCTGTTTTGATTGGCTGTATGGTGCCTCATTCAATATGCAGTCCAGACTGAAACACTCCACATCGGTGCAGCACGAAAGGGTAGGGCTGAAGTTAACAACATTTGCGTAATAAATCAAACTCTTTAAGTAACTTTAACTCCAACTCAGTTTACCATGATATTGGCCCTTTAACAAAACAGCACAACACTTTCTCCATTAGCGAAATCCCACTTCATTTTCCTCAAATAAATACCAAAAACAGATGGTTCAAGCTAAAATCCAAAACTTCTTTTTGTTAAAGTGCCTGCACACAGTCTTCTTAGCTCTCCCAAAGTGATTATCTCAAAACAAACACTGAAAACAAAAATCACTTTGGGAGCATTAAAAACAGTGCGCACTTTAACGGAGAAAAGTTTCAGTTTTGGTTTTCTTTTTATTCCTAAGAGCACATTTTTGACTAAAATCGCTCTGAGCCGTTAGATGTGCAAAGAGTAAAGTTTCTGAAACTTTTTGTATTTCCGACCGATAAACTTTAACTCATTAGGAGTTGGTCAATTAGTAACAACTGCAACTTCAGGCAGAGAGAGAAAGAAGCCCAGACAGAAAGGAAGACAGAACAGAAAAGGAAAGATTAAAAAAGATGACAGGAGGAACCACCGAGGACGAATTAAACAGAGATAAGAAAGTAACAGAAACATGGGACAGGACATGAAGAGAACAAAAGAGAGCGAGAACAAGAGAGAGAGAGAGAGAGAAAGCGATGAATGTCTAGGGGGTCACATGAAGAGTTCAGACGTGTTTAAACAGCACCAACAGTCGATTCCAGCTCTACAGATGTGAGATTTTTACGCTTGAAAAACATTTATTTTGAAATAAAAATGAGTGCATATTTCTCTGAATATTATAGTGAGCTATAACAATTCAGAACTGACACTGTTTACATGAACACTTCTTTACAATTACAGAACAATTTCAGAAAGAAAGATAGACAGACAGAAGGAAAGAAAGACAGATAGATATAGAAACAGGTAGGCAGACAGAACATGAAAAGAAAGAAAGCAAGAAACAAAAAAAAAACAAGCAAAGAAAGCAAGAAAGAAAAAGACAGCTAGAAACAGATAGAATATCAAAAGAAAGCAAGAAAAAAGACAGAAAAAAGCAAGAAGGAAAGAAAAAGAAAGACAGATAGAAAGATGGAACATCGAAAGAAAAAAGCAAGAAAGATAGAAAAATAGCAAGGAAGAAAGAAAGCAAGCAAGAAAAAAAGATGAGAGAAGAAAAAAGAAAAAGAAAAAGACAGACAGAAAGACAGACAGAATATGATCAAAGAAAGGAAGGAAGGACGGAAGAAAGGAAGGATGGAAGGAAGGAAGGATAGAAGGCAGGAAGGTAAAGAGAAAAAAGGAAGAAAGAAAGAGAGCCAAAAGAAAATAGGGAAGGACAGACACAAAAAAGGACAGACAGACAGAAGGAAGGATGGAAGGAAGGATGGGCGGAAGGATGAAAGAAAAGACGAAAGAAAGAAAGAAAGTTTGAGCGGTGTGAGAGGGAAAGTGCTGTCATTAAGATCAGGGCTGAGTGAGTCATGCAGCGTTTTAACTAGGAGCCACATTCAGGTCCTGCTGGATGATCTGCTCAGCTGTGAGGAACCACAACCTAAATTATGGATTTAGTCTGGAATGCTACTTTAAAGAGGAAGAGAAACGGGAATGAAAAGAGGAATGGAGTATAAAGGAAAGGAGAGGGAGACGGCGAGAGGACAGGAGAACGAGCCGCTAAGACAGTGACATTAACACTGATCATTGATTCTCCTCACTAGAGGAGAGTGAGACATTAGAGAACTATAAAAGGCTCTGACGAGCGCGGGTGCGTGTGTGCGTGTGCGCGTGGGGCCGTTATACGCCGTTCAGTCACTCTGGAGAACAGAGCCTTTTAACCGCCTTCACTATTGAACAAATGACATCTCATTAGCTGCCTCACCATGGCTTTGATCAGACTGATAGATCGTTAAGTGATCAGACACGCTGACGGGCAGAGTCATGTGCTCTCGGCCCCTGAGGACGGACAGCACTTTGAAGAAAAAGAACACAGCAATGAGGCCGCATGGTGGCCCCGTCAAGAAAGTGAGCTAAAAACAGGTGATGAAAGACAAAGATTTAGATTTAGTTCTCTAAGACTTCCGTCAGGCTGCACAAGGACATTCAGAATCAGCACAAAGAGCACGAGACCACCACTGCAGCGTTTAGCCTTCCCCTGCCCTACACATCATCCAGAGATTCAGTTTTAAAGGCCCCGTATCCCACATCCTTCCTGCATGTTACCGTGTTTTATATCACTATGACAAGAAAGTACTATGCTGTCTTTATTGCGAGATGCAACAAGGTCCAGACTAACGCTGTCCTGAGGCCGATAAAAATAACACTTAATGATTGTAAAATCATGAATGTGTCAGCTGTTCACACCCACCCTAAATCCAGTTGTGCTTAATCCTGAACTGTTTTTAATTCACTTTAAAAGGAGCATTTCATATCTCTGACACCAGCATAATGCTAATTTCCATTAGCCCATCAATGAGAACGCCTATGCAAGAGTAGCATTAAGCTAATAACTGTGTCCATGTTTTTAGCTTAATGTTAATTTTCATTAGCCCATCAATGGGAATTCCTATGCAAGATTAGCGTTAAACTAATAGCTGGGTCCACGTTTTTAAGATTACTG